TGACCTGATTGTGTATCAGTTATATCCCCAAGTAATCTAATATTATCTGAGGCTTGACACTGTTCTGTAAAACCAGATTACAGAGGATGAAGCTCCTGACGGTAAAGTAGTCTCTCTTCAGTCTGATGGGGAACAGAGGCAGCTCTTGTTACAGGAAACTCCAAGGGCCACCTTCAAAGGCAGCAGAACCCATGGTTGGCAATGTCTTACTGCTCCGAAAGAAGTTCTACCACCCCTTGATCATTTTTTCTTTTCCGTCCTCAGATATTCCTGCCGCTGGGCCTTCACGTTTATCTGGTCGGCATGGAGCTCTGGACGGACAAAAACTATGTGACCATTGATTCCCACGACCTTTCTATGACCTTGAATGCATTTTATAAGTATGTCCGGTACCAACTTCGGCACCACGTGCATTTTGACCACTCTGGCTTAATGACGTAAGATTCCCTTTTGTGAAAATGCCAGCTGGCCTTGAGTTAGCATCACGCGGGGGAGCCTTTTGGGTTAGCAGTGACAACATGTCGGGCGAGGGGGATCGGACATTTAGAAAGGTCTGACAGAAGCTCGCATCCTGGTTAGTGAGAGGACGGGCTTTTTGCTTCCAGCAATGGCTAGCTGTAAGGACATCCACGGGGGTGTCGGAAAAGTCAAGATGGCAGCACTGATCACGCAGTCAAGGCCCTGCTCCTTTTTTACACATGGAACCTCAATGGCAAGGTCGTGCCTGCCATCTTGACTTTTCTGACCCCTCCCTGCAGGCATCCCCCTCTGACCGCTCACTCGCAAAGCCAACGTGTAAAGGCCTCCTCCTGATGGACACACCACCCCTGAAAATGGAGGATCAATTAGCACAGGGGTTCCTAAACTTTTGGCCATCATACCTCCCTTTGGTGCAGTGTTTCTGAACCTCAGCAACTTTAAGATGAGTGGACTTCATGGCTGGCTGGGGAATTCTGGGAGTGGAAGTCCACTCATCTTGAAGTTGCTGAGGTTGAGAAACACCGTTTTAGTGTAATCTTCATATACGCACCTGTCCTAAAACTCCAAACACCCAAATGAACACAAACGAATAATGAAAACAGTACAATGCAACTTTGGGGGAGTTGGATTTATTGTAACAATGTAACTGAAAGGTTCTCCCCACCTCCCCTGGACTCTTTCTGCCCCTCCCCAGGGGAGGTGCCCCTCCCATTTCGGGAAACCCTGGATCAGCACCTCTAACTAACACTCCCGAATCTGTCGCTACCCACGTTCAGCCGATTCCTGGCTTAAAAAATCTCATCCTGTGCTCTGAGTCCCACTCCTCATTTGTTACAGAAATAGGCCAATATCCATCAAATCGGTATGAGGAGATTAAGAGTGAAAACAAAAAAGATCGTCCATGGGATGGTAGCACTAGAGATTGCTTTCTTGCTGGTGTTTTCCTCGTGAAATATAACCCGGATCCTATTTTCTATGGTGTTGCAGGGCAACAGGGACCCTTCCTGGACTTTCATGGGGAGAACGGCTTTGCCATCCCTCACATGTGTCCGTGACTGTCATCCACGTAGGTGGTTCTCTGCCCCTGATCCCTTTTCCCCCTCGGGGTCATGGCTGCCTTGGAGGGGGATCTCCGTGGGATGCTCGCCAGGCTGCGTCTGAGTTTGCCGCCCAACCCGCCAGAAGAGAAGACGCTAAATCTAAGTTAAACTAAAGGCGACATCCACTTACCTGGCCGGGAAGACGTTTCCAGACAAGCAAGAGATTAACAAGGAATTGTAAAGTCATTTACGGTCACCCAGACCAGGTTCAAAAGGCATGCTTTTTCGAGCCACGTTACCCTTGTAGGTGTTCCCCTGAGAGCTCTTAGGTGCCCACCTGAATGCAGAATGCAAACCGAGGGCCTGCGCTTTGAGCAGATGCAGTGGCCCAAGGGGAAGCCAAGAGCATGCCTCGCAAGCCCTTCTGAGCTCCTGCCAGTCCAGTGGGAAAAGCCCCCACTCTGTCTTTGGCCACTGCTGAAAGAGAAGCGCACAGATAAACTGCATCGTTTGGAACACGTCACAAGCTGCGTCACTGGAAAAAGTCCTGCACGCGACCCGTAAAAGGTTGCCGTAAGAATCACAAAAGGCTCAAGCCTTTTTAACTGGTCACTCCTATTATCCGCAACTTAAAGGGTTGTGGAAGCCCTGGGAAAGCCTGCAGCACTGCCCTCCGGGACCTTTTATAATATAATAAGCCGGAGCTGTTTTTGCATGCATCTAGGCTATCTCATAAATCTGCTGTGTCCTCCAGAATCCATTTTTAGAGTGCTGATTTATTTAAGCACCTCTAGAGCAGCTAGATGCGGTCCAAAGACAGATGTGTGTGCGTGGTGGGACTTGAAATGAGATTGCAGGGCATCATGCTGAATGCCCCAGAGGTTCTTCAGTATGCCAGAGGCCCTTGAACCCACCAGGAGCCTTTGCCTTCCAGAACGTGCATCAGAAGTTAAGCATGTGGGCTTCTTGAATGCACTTAGGTGTGTGGGCTTCCTGAATGCACGCTCTATAAATGCAGCCAGCTATAAATCAGAGAATAAAAGGAGCACTTTGAACCCCATGCTCCAAGGCAGCCTGCAAAGATTAAATATGAGGGAAGAAGATCCAGCAAAACAGCTCAGCTGAAATGCACCGACACAGGAGCTTCTAGGTGTTTCGCTGTTTTCTGAATCTAATTTGGATCCTCCCACCTGCTTTTATTAGCACCCAGGTTAACATTAGGTCCCTTCCCCTGACAGACCAGGAAGAAATGATGTGCAATTTGGGGGGGAGGGAGCAATTTCCTGTGATATCATTTCACTTAAAAACAAAACAAGTCTTGGGGAATCTCATCCTCTGGTTCTGATCAGAAAACTTCCAGCAGTTTGGTCAAACTGGGAAACAAAATTTAAAGGGTTTACCTGTCCAGCCCACAAAAATCTGATGAGGTTGGTTGGTTCACCTATTGAACCATTTAATAGCAAAAATGCCCCCAACATATAAAATAATAAGAGACTGAGACCCGAAGCTAATGCGATTTTGGCCAGACTTCTACCCTTGGGGTCCAGCACCATATTCACTGTATCACTCCTGCTGTATGGATTGCAATTTGTATTTTCACAGGTTTTCTTCTGAGGTTTAGTAATGATCTTATTAGAAATAGAGATCGGGCAGTGAGCCTCTACACAGGAACAAAGGCCCGGAAGCACACTTTGCAGGTTTTATGACCACAGGGAAATCTTTTCTAAATCTTTGAAGTGTTCTGAAATTGGGTTGATGTCAGTTTCCTGCCTCCCCCACCTGCCGTAGAGCCGCAAATCAAGATCCAAGTATGTCTCTGTTGACATGTTCCCTATATTCAATATTTTGTTCACCACAGTCTCCCTTTCAACTGTCTCATTGTGTGCAGATATATAAAAAACTTAGATTTGATGCTGAAACCATTGCCCACGAGCTGGGTCATTCTCTCGGCTTTACACACGACGATGCCCCCATGAATTCAGCCAGAAAATGCGACTGCAATTGCACTGTGTTTGGCAGCTGTCTGATGCTGACTTCCGGCGAAGCGTAAGTTCTGCTCGGCAGCTTCTTCTTAGTTTTTAACTTTTCTCTCTTGGGCCTCTCCTCTAGAGATTCCCCTAGAACCAGTCAAAGGAATCAGTTCACGTTTCTCCTAAAAGAAGAATCAGCCAGGATCTAGTAACCCCAGCTGGTGCTTCTAGAAGCTGAGCTTATTCTTCTCCACAGGCTTGGAATATTTCCTCCTGTCTTGATTTCATGAGTGGGAGTCACAGGAATTGGGTGGGGGGGTGTTGATTGTTAATTAAAAGAAAGGACCCCTCTTCTGGGGCAAAGGGTTGCTAACACACAGGCACTGTCCCTTCTTCAGCCCCCTCCAGCCTTGGCATGCCAGAAGCCACCGCATTCGCTGGCCGGTGCTGAAGATCCCTGCTCCTTCAGATAACAGTGACCCTCAACTGCCAGGCCTGGGTACCAGCCAGGGGGGATATCTACATTAGACAGTGTGGCTCAGACGATCATTTGCCATTCTCAGAGCTGGCCTGGCAGGCAGGAACCTTACCCAGCTTTATCGCCTGAACTACAGAGCCACTCCTGCTCTCCCCCGCAGCTGGGGAAGGCACATCTCCAGCTGAGCAGCCAGCCTGGGCTCTTCCTCCCAAGGGGCCAGGATGAGCTTGGCTCGCGGGGTGCTGCTGCCTGAGATAAGCTGGCCTCAGGGTTCGCCTGTGTGCTTCCGTGGGGAGCCTGTATTGGAGGGAGAAGCATCCTGTGTGGGCGTCTGGCCTGAGCAATGACGATTAAAGCAGATCTGATGACTGTAACGGAAGGGAGATGACTTTACAGGAAACACAGTATAAGGATTGGCAAAGGCCAGCACCCAGATAACTGCATCCTACGAGAGTCAGAGAGAAGGTTTCAAGACGGAGAAGGCTTGCCTACACAACTGGTGGCCAACTTTCAGGGTTTCAGAGGGCAGCCTTTCCAGCTCTGGTTGGAGATGCTAAAATTAAAACCATGGCCTTCTGCAAGCAAAGCTCTTGTTCTGTGCTTAGACTGCAGGCATTCTGCGGTTCAGACGTTATGCTGTGCTCTTCTTAAACCTGCAGGCTGTTGTAGAGCAGCAGTTATGGGAGATTATCTCTCTTTTAAACACGCCCATGAGCACGGACCTAGACCCAAATCTTAGTTTAAGTCTCATCTGGTCAGTAATAAGGATATAAACATCAAGAAATCATTTCATGCCTCATCATATTTCTTACACACAATCCAAAAAAGAATTTGTAACCTAGAAGGCAAGGTACAAATGACTACAACAAATAAGTTATAAAGAATGAGAGCTCACTATATTATCACAATAATCATTTATTGTGTTACAGGAACTGTTCAAGACTGAGTAATTGCAGCACGCTGGAATATTTTAATATGATCAAAAAACCTGAAAAAACATGTTTGCTTAACAAACCTGCCCAGATATTTAACATGAAGGAGTGTGGAAATGGTGTCATTGATGGTGACAATGAAGAATGTGACTGTGGAAACGAAGAGGTTAGACATTAAGACGTGCGGCAAGGGTATGATCCCCCCACCCCCCCAAAATCAATTGGAAGATTATCCAGACAATTTTATTTATATAAATTAGGCTAAATTTGCATAACCTGTTTTGAACTGGACATTTTCTACTTGCACCAGTCCAAATTATACTATGCTAAATTTACATAGAGATAGATATACAATAGATAGATAGATAGATAGATAGATAGATAGATAGATAGATAGATAGATAGATATAAAGGTATGCTTAAATAGATTCATTTTAGGTTAATATGATAAATTTTATGTAGATCTTTAGGTTAATTCTAAGGATCTTCTTAATTTTTCTCTAGCTTGGATGTTGGCAGTAATTTCCATCAGCCATTTTTGTTCTGTGGTACCCTCTGTACCACAGTCGCATCCTGGGGGGGCCATTCTGGGGAATGAGGGCCACTCTCTTCCCAGCAACACAGCATTGCTCAGAGGGACAGTCTGGGGGGGGGGGGGGGAGAAATGGGGATCCATTTGCTTTTGCCCTGTATAACTCACTTCCTTTATGATGCTCAGGTCCTACGGGAGAAATCTGCCTAATAAAAGCAAAAAGGAGAACAGCTGGTGGGCAACTTCCCCACTTCATAAGTATTTATGGAAGCACAGTTTTGCCTGTTTCCATTATTAAAAAATAATGGAAGCAAAGACCCGTTTCCTGAATGCATTTAAATGGAGATGAAAATTGTTTTCAAACACAGGAATTGGGCTTTTCTGAGGCAGGAGTGTCCGCAGGTTGTGGACAAGAAAATCAAGATGGCAGCCACAATTGTGTGATTGACGTTCTGCCTGGTGGAACTTCTGTCACACCATCGTAGCTGGCATCTTGACTTTCTTGACCACACCCTGTGGACACTCCTGCTCTGGGGCACAAAGATTTGTGAACAGCTTAACTCCAGCTCTAGAGCAAATACGGGGGGATCTGTCTGGCAGTGTGTCTTCTCAAGCCATGCGGTGGGACATTTTCCATCAATGAGGGTTCTCCACTCAACCTGGACCTGAGATTTTCCCCTGCCTTCCTGCAGCCAGCGGTTCGTGGAAACTCCCTTGCCCATCCTCCCCAGCTGATTTGCTGTTGGGGTGGCTTTCCATTCCTCCAATAGAAAGGCTAGCTGGTGGCTGTTTTTTTTTTAATTTAAAAAAAAAATAGTTTTTTTAAAGCAAATGTATTAGAATGACCATGGGATAGAAAAGAAAAAAGATTTTAAAAGGGGCCATGAGTCTCCAAGTGCTCGCCCATCTGTAAGAACCTCAGGCTTCAGACTATCTTTCCACGTTAGAAGGTGAGGAGAAGGAGGTTGGCCTGAAGAAGTTGCTTTATATGCACAAATCATGGAAGTGAACTGTGTATCCACAAAACGTGATCCTTGATTTGTCCTGTGGCCATTTGTAACTGTATGTGAGTCCTCTGATGCTGCTCTGATGTCCCACATGGATTCTGTTTAGCCAGCTATAGGTCATTTTGTGGGTTGGGCAATTTCTAGTCTCTTCCCACTTCTAACTCTGCTGCTACCAATAAGAAAATGAAATTTTTATTCTGCAGAGAGTTGCTATCATCTTTTAAGAGAGAGGGAAGCAGTCAAGCCTCTGAAAAAGAAACTCCTAATGTGCTATTTCAGAAAGGAGTTTCCGTACCTAGACCAGCATTCTTGGAAGCTCAAACCAGTCTTCTCTGCTGTTGCCAAGCTCACAGGCAGGTCTGCCTTACCAACCGTTTTCCTGCTTACAGGTGGTCCTCACTTAACGACCGCAATAGGGACTGGAAAATTGGTCATTAAGTGGGGTGGTCATTAAGCGAGTCACCACATGACCAGACCCAATTTTACACCCATTTTTACGATGGTCGTTAAGTGAAGTATGTGGTGGTTAAGTGAATCATATGGTTGTTAAACAAATCCAACTTTCACAACAGATGTTTTTTGCCGCAATTTGCTTAACAACACATTATTCACTTAGTGATCATCATAAAAAAGGTTGAAAATCACAATCACATGACTGCAGGGGTTTGCAACAGTCATAAGTGTGAGTACAGGTTTTCTGAGGCCATCGTAACTTTGAAATGTCATTAAACAAACAGTCATTAAGTGAGGACTACCTGTATTCTGAGAGGCCTCCTGTTTCATCCTGATGATGTTACTGCCCCCCAAGGCCCCCCAAGGCAGAGTGGTTGAAAACCACAGGAGTTAACATTTGGCCATTATAATCACCACCACCACTATAGAATTCTGTTTTGTAAATTCTTCAAGTCAGCCACCTCTTACAAGTCCAAAAGAGGACTGGTAAACTGGCAGTCAGGTTCTTTTTCTTCCTTTATTAGGAAATAGAAGGAACGTGGATCCAAAGCATCTTTCTGAAACAAGGAGGAAAAGAGCGACAACTTCATGTAAGTGAATCAAATAAACTGGGTGAGGAAGGAGGAATCAATTTATCCCATATATGTCCACCACATCTGCCATGCCAGAAGCAAACTCAATGTGGGCAATGGCGTTGGCACTGAAATAGCATCAGGGGCTGAGTGTCAGTTAACATCCTTTCCTGCCTAACATTCTCCTTGCTTGAGATGCCCAAGGAGGGGCTCCCAGTGAGCTTAGTAGGCTGAGGGCAACTCCCTTGCTGGTACTTCTGCTCAGGAGCCGCTCAACCGCTCGTGGTCCAAGGAAATTCTAGTCTACTTTTTCACTTTGGGCCTTTATATGGATGGGATGGTCTGGTACTAGTGGGAAACACCCTGCAGGAAACTTCTTATGATAGCCCGGTAAAGGGCGTGTTTGGCCTGGTCTGTTGAATCCTTGGTCAACCTCTAGCATTTGGAAACAGGCCAAACGTTTGGCAGCGTCAGTAGCCGGTTTGTGCTGCCACTGCAGAACTGATCCAGATAACTCAGAGGCTCCCAGGAAGCATCCGAGAAATGCCTCTACCATCATCAACTCTATGGATATTTCACGCACCAGGCTAAGAACAGCGTGAATTGTCTGAGCGAAAAAGTATCTGGCATGGCCACATTCAGATGTGTGTAAATGAACACAAGGGCACCCACAACCGATAGTCACTCGGACGAGGAAGACGTTTTAGAGAGGGGTGGGATGCACAAAACAATATCTATTGTCCTCGACCAGTTAACTCCTTGCAAGGGGGAAAATTAACTTGAAAATAATGTTCAATGTACAATTGTACAAAATGCTAATACTCATTTATAAAATGTGTAACAAATACTGTATAGTTACAAATGAAGCCATCAGGGCCAAACTGCTTTGTATCCATTCAGGGTTAAATAGCCAGATAATATATAGTTGTGGGGCTGGGGGGTGTTGATGATGATGTTAATAATAATAATAAACTATTCATCAAAGCCTTTGTAATTCTCTTTTTCTTCTAAACAGTGGAAGCAAAGATTTCACAAACAATTTTTATTTCCTGACCACCTGCAGCCTAAAACCATGACTGTAAGTTATTGGTCAAATAAATATAGTGAAAATGAGACTGTTTCTTGCTGCAAAGGATGTTTTTTGCTACTTAAAGGGCTGCCCTTACATGGTTTGTAAACATTTACAAGGCCTTAATAAGATGTCACGGCTCTTGTTACTATCAGGAAAGACAGATTAATTTGGACGCCCAGGTGAAGGGAGAGAGGCCCAGCAGGGTTGGCCCTTGGATCTCATGAGACGTCAACTCTTCCACCCAGAGCACTGTCCTCCTGTGCAGAGCCAGGTGTGATCTCAAGCAGGAGCCATGAATAGACAATTTGAATTAATGTTGGAAGAGTCTGTACAGGGAAACTGAAACAGTACTTCGCAGCTGTGGATTGTTTTAAGCCTACTGATGTTGGACAGTTTTAAAAGGCAGTTAGATAATATCATGGAGGAGAAGAAGGATGTCAGGGGTTCCCTAGTTTCTGGGGACCTTGAGTGGGAAAGGGCTGTTGGGCCCATACGCTGCTTCTGGCGTTCCCTTGGTCCTCCTGATTTTGCATTCTTCCTAAATTTGTACACTTTTTGTCTTCCTCCAACATATATTTCAGAAAAAGTTTTCATGGAAAGTTCGTGCAGAGTTTATTTCTATATTTTTATATTACAAAATACATAATTACAATCTCTGTCGCAGGGATATTTAAAAAGCTGATGATATAAGCTTGTCATAGGTCCTTTTTGTTTTAAACAGGAAGAGGGTACATCAGCAATCAAAATTATATTCATGAATGAAAAATATCCGAAACTCAAAGGGCCCAGTGTAAGTTTTGAATTCCTTTAATGCCTCTGTCAGATGCTCTGCTGAGATGGAACTTTCCCCTTTTGCTGAACTTAAGAGTACCGGCCAACTTTTCTCAGGTCTTGCATAAAACGCGCTGAGCGGATTGAGACCACAAGCCCCCATTTCTTATGCTGATAGCACCCAAGAAACACGGGGCTCTCAGATAGCAATGCTCACATTATGTCTGGCTATTTTCAGCTTGCTGTTTCCAGTTACCGGTCATGGAATTGTGGAGTTGGAAGGGACTGCATGGATGATCTCGCCCAGCCCCTGCAGTCTGCAGAAAAACCATTTAAACTGTCCAGCCTCTTTTTCAAAATGCACCCATTCAGGGTCTTAGCATGTTGTTGTTAACTTCCTTTTTTAAAAAAAAAAAAGCCAGAGTCGCCAGTTCCAATCCATCAACTTAACAATCTAGCTTTGACTGATTTACTGCCCAGCTGAATCCTGAGCTCAAAATTATTATCTTACATGCCGAGCAACTCTGCAAATGTAATGAATGTTAGCCAAACACTGTGGCTCATTGAACAAGTTTCTGTCCTGCCCGGTGTAGCGAATGTCACCTTGAGGTCGCCGCCACTGATGATTCCGCGCAATGGATTTTCTGTCCTGGTGGAGGGCTGGACTAGATGGGATTTTGGAGGACAGCGTTGGGCGGGATAGGTGTGAATGAGATGGCCATCTCTCTCTTTGCAGGAATGCAGGAAGAACGGGTGTTGCCAAAAGGACTGTACTTTCAAAGAAGGCATTGACTGCCTGTATGGGCTCTGCTGTGAGAACTGTAAGGTAAGACAAAGGCAACCCGCTATTAAGCAAATACAGTAAGTGGGACTCAGCTAAGCCCTTCTCCCACTGCATCGTCCCACTTTCAGGGGGTGCAGATACAGCAGGCTGGAGAAAGGGTCTTCAGAAGGAGAGGCAAAATGTATCCAACTCTTCTCTCAGCACCTCCTGCTTTGCATTCATAACTTCCCTAACATAAATGTTGGCGGGGTTATTACCAAAGTAGAACTGATTACCATTGTTAGTGGCCTTCTGTTATGGCCTCTCTTGCTTCCTTCCTTCCTTCCTTCCTTCCTTTTTAAATTATTATTATTATATTTTCTCCATTGCATGCCACCCAGAACATACAGACTGGGGTGGGCTACAAGAACTGTAAATGAATAAATGCCCCACTAGCTTTTGGTTCTGGTTGAATGGTTTTGAGAAGCAAAAAAATGCCAGTAATTGTTAATAACAATAGGAATGATTTCTGTATGTTCAGAAATCTTCTTGTACATCTGAAATATACCATCCAACTTTCTTGAGGACTTATGGCACAACAGCCATCTCTGAATCCTTCTCAGAGGTAAAAAAATGTCTTTCTCTTCTTTTGACCAAAACGCTGTCCTGTGACACTTTAAAATGGGCAAAAATGACATTGGAAAATTACAATTTTTAACATCACAACATTCACATATTTAAATAAATCATGTTTCCATATCAACACTTGTAAAGTAATTGCTTAACAGGCCATATGCAAGAAAGACCTGAACTGGAATGGCTTAATCTATTCTATGTTTATTTAATCATTGATTTCTCATGTTTGAGAGGTAGTTACAAACAGATACCCTCCAGGGGGGTCCCACTTTAATGTGGGGGGAGAATCCAGGAGCTTTAATGACTGAGAGTGCTCTCAACAAGAGAAGGAGCTCCTGACATTTGCTGGTAAAGTCAAAGGAAGGGGAGGAAACTGAGGCTCATTTACCACTTGGACGAGGATAGGTAGGGCTGGGCCAGGTTGAGGGAACCCACCCATCTAGGACCCTAGAATCAGACCCATAAGAAGGCAGTGGCGAAGCTGCTGGGAAATCCGGTCCCTGGTTGTGTCAGCGTTGAAAGAACAGTTTTCTGTTTCACAAGAAGACACAATCAGAATATGGATGATGGGAAGCACGAGCCAAGGAAAACTAGAATTGTAAAAGCAGAAACGAAGCATACTAAGCTGTATGTTTTAGAAATAAGTGAGATTAGAATGGGCCACCTTAAATTTATTTATTTATTTACTTATTTACCTATTTATCATACTTATGTAGCTGCCCATCAAATCAGATGATCAATGATAATATTGTGCAGAGCATATGGCCATACAAAGGAAATGAATGGCAATGATTCAAAAAACGGACAAATGACTTGGCTTTATGTTCACTTATAATCCCACAAGAGACAGGGTTGTATCTATCACAATTGGTGGATGCATGCACAGGGAATACGATGAATGTCACTGTTAACAGAGAAGGACAAGTAAAGCCAGAGTCAGATAAAGAAGTACCAGGAGCAGATACCCACTGAACTTTTTAAAGCTGCAGCTTTGGGTCAATACATAGGACAGCTAGAATCAATGCTGGAGGCTGAAACCTTAACAATTGCGAATACACAGAGAAAACCACTTTGTAAGCTACAGTAAAAGCAAGGAGGACTTAGAAGATCTCATTATCAAAGTAGTTAATAGAGAAGCCTGCTCAGCTAGAATTGTTTCCACCCCGTTAGCAGCAGCGACTATAAGAGACAGTGGCATTTTCTTCTGCATAATGAAAACTGTGTGTGTGTAAGTGAGTGAGTGAAACTTATACACAGTCCCAGAAGCCACAATTCAGATAGAACATGGTGAAACTGACTGGCTCTAGATCAATAAAAGAGTGAGACAAGGCCGTATGCTCTCTCCTTATTTCTCATCCTATATGCTCAATATTCTGTAAATCAAGAGAGGCTAGATTGGAAGAAGATGACCATGGATTTAAAACTGGAAGAATAAATATTATTAACCTGCACTATGCTGATGACGCTAGCCTGATAGGTGAAAATGCAAAGGATCTGGAAGCTCTACCATTAAAAATTGAGGAGCACAGTGAAAAAATTAGACTAAGATTCATTATAAAGAAGACTAAACTAATGACAACAGGTACAGTAACCAGCCTTAGAACTGATAATGAAGATATTGAAATGACTGACAGTTTCTTCCTTTTGGGATTGACTATCAACAGCAAAGGACCAGCAGTCAAGAAATACACTATAGACTAGGGTAGCAATGGAAGTATTGGAAAAGATATTCAGATACCATGATGAGTTTATACCTACAAAGATCAGAATTGTGCAAGCCATGTTTTCCCTTGGGCATTCTATGGAAATGAAAGTTCCATAGAGAAGGATGGAAATGGAAAGAAGGACTTTGAAGAAGCAAGATAAAAAGACTTGATATTTTTAACTTTGGTGTTGGAGAAGTCTCCTGAGAATACCATGGATAGCTAAGAAAACAAAGGTATCATAGAACAAATAAACTCACTCAAGTTCTCACTTGAGGCACAAATGATCATATTTTGGACCTACAGGTAGTCCTTGGTTAGCAACCACTTGTTCAGCGACCATTCAAAGTTACGATGGTGCTGAACGAGGAGACTTACAGCTGGCCCTTGAAGTTGTGGCTGTCCCAGCACCCCTACAGTCATATGATTGTGACTGGGCACTTGGCAACCAGCAGGCAATTGCAATGGTTGCAGCATCCCATGGTCATGTGATCGCCATTTGCAACCTTCACTGCCGGCTTCCAACGAGGAAAGTCGATGGGGAAGCCAGCTGGAGTTACAAATTGCAGTCATGTAATGTTGTGCTTAATGACCGTGTGCCATTTGCTTAACGACCACAACCAGAACTGCCATCGTAAGTTGGCACAGCCGCTTTATGACCGCATTGCTTAGCAACGGAGTTCCCAGTTAACGAAGGACTATCTGTATTATGCGAGAACCTTGTTCTCTCTCAAGAAGGTGGAAGGAAGGAAAAGAGGATCCGTCAGTAAGATTGGAAGATCTGAAGAACCAGGATGGAGACATAAAATCTATCTGTGTGGTTGCTAAGAGTCAACACCAGCTTGATGGCATATAATCAACCAGTCAAGCCTCCTGATGGACAGTTAGGCAGAAAGCAGACAGATAGACAGTTCTATGCCCATTTACATAATTTATTTCCAATATTCTGTTGGGTTGGAAAGAATAATCATGGTAAGTGGAAAATCTGAATTGATATTAGTTATTAAGAAAACATTGTCAGCTAGCATGCTGAGGAATTGATGGTGAAATGAAAGTGGTAGATAACTTTGTTTTCTCGGCCCCAAGAAGCGATAGTGCTGAAGGGGATTAATCCTAGGGAGGCAAAGACAAATTTAGGCAAGAATGTGAAGGATAACAATATATAACAAAGAACAGAATAATTAAAGCAATAGTTTTTCCAGAGGTAGTGTATCAGTATAAAAGTTGGACATTAAAGAAAGGATGAGAGAACGATAAATACCTTTGAATTATGGATCTGGAGACAGTTACTGTAGGAATAATGCTGGGCTGCAAGAAATATTTTGAGCCTGTGATACAAATAGTTGATGAACCACTAGAAGAATACAAGTAGACTTGTCGTGACTGAGGGAAGTAGAAGAATGGGGGAAATGGAGAAGGTTGATCAGAGAGAACTGGAACGTGCTTGGAAAAGCTGTGGATCATCCCCAGGGTCAGGTCATGAGGGCATTTGTCCATACCGTCACAAGGGGTCAGAGCTGACCAGATTGTACCTAACAAACAACCTGAGATAATGCCAAGTTTTCTTCACACTGTGAAAAATCCTTGTCTCAAATATGTTTACAAACGTACATTTTTCTGAAGCAGACTTAAAGTAGGGAAAGTCTTACTTGCAGCCTCAGGAATAGCTGAGCAATGTCTTCTTTAATCACGTTTTGTCACTTTCCGCTTTTGTCACTAAGAGTTCAGCCAGGGACCAGGAGACTAAGACCTTTCCTGTTATCATCCTTCTTGGCTTGAGTTCCAGTGATACGGTGGTCCAGATACCAGGTCAATGTTAGATTGGATAAAAATGTAGGCTGCTTTCAATCAAAATTAGCTGTCAGTTTCTTATTTATTTATTTAATTTGATTTCGAGGCCGCCCAACTCCTTAACGACTCTGGGTGGCTTATTATTCAAAGAATATAGGTACAGAGAGAGAGAAAAAACCCCACAATCTTCCCAGAATCCTTTTTGTTATTTGACCCATCATGCTTTTTTGGAGTGACTTTCTGTATCTGACTCAGTCATCTCCTCATCCTAATTACTGTAAGCAGCGTAAATGGTACTTTCTCTGTCTTAATTAATTCTGCTTTGGTTAATTGTCCAGTTTTCCTAACGATTATAAACAGACGCAACAAAAGACGTAGATTCAGTTCTTATTGTTAGCTGTCACGTTTGTTACCGCAAAGCACAGGCAAACTAAGATACATTTTTCTTTGCATCAGAGATATTTCAAAGTGTGGGAAATTGTTCCGGCTGAAAAATTAACAGTAAAGAGATCCGGGAGCCCCTTTGATAAAAAAAATACATTATCCTAAATTGGAGGGTCATTTGTTGGCTCTGTTAACAGCCTCTTGAGCCAGCCCAGCTTAATCTTTGTGTAAAAGTTTGCAGGGCAGGTGGATGACATACATCAGTGTTTCTCAACCTTGTCAACTTTAAGATGTGTGGACTTCAGCTCCCAGAATTCCCCAG